CAGTTATGCAAAGAATTAGATCCCTTTCTTTTCTCTTTGAGCTCAATCAGCATGATTACCTATCAAATGCTACACTAGGTACTTTCATACAGATTATGGTATTTAAACTGCATTACCTTTCTAAGTACTTATTACCCTTATTTTTACCATTGAGGGAAGGAAATAAGGCTCAGAAAATAAAGATATCTTGCCCAATAATGTGTCAGTGAGTAGCAGAACTTTTGTCTAACTCTTATATCTTATGACTTTACCAATTTGCCTTTCAAATATCCTAGAGTATGAAGGCAAAGCAAGTTACTACAATGCAGAAAAATCAGACTAAATAATCTTTATAAGCTCCGCTATTTTGTTAAGTTATAACCACATATACAATAAGTATACTGGGTTATATATTCACATGAAGAAATTAGAATTCATCACTACTCTTTCACTAACTATATTTTATTAGAGTTCCACTTATATAATTCTGACATATTAAAACACATCAAAGAGTTAAGAGAAAGATAAAAAAGCATCCAAATCTGAAGAAAATGGAAAAAAAATACTTACGAAGCTAACAGTTCAAGAGCAACTAACTTGTCTTTACTGAAGGTAAAACAGTTGAGTATATTGACCACTTCTGCTGGGTGAACAGCCACCATTTTCTATTAAGATAAAAAAAAATCTAGTTTATTTTTCAACATAAGCTTTCATGCTAGACATATCCCTTTATGGGAAAATATTCTTAAATGTTATTAATATAAACATTTTAGCTGACACTATACATTTTAGGTGAAACTATATTTAAAAGTAAGTCCCAGCAATTCAAAAGGAAGTTCTAAAAATATGTAAATTATATTTATGCTGTTTCAATATAATATTTCAGATAAAGATCAAAGTATCCCGTGATCTCATTTTAATCCATTTTTCTCAATATGTTAATTTGTAGAATAAAACACATTAACAAGTACTTTCCTCCAAACGGTGATATTTATACATGCAGGAGATTAAATTGCTGAAGGGGTTAGTAGAAAATTATATGTACCAGTTGGGTAACATTAAGTGTGTCATGTATCAATATTCGCCAAAGAGCATAGTTCATGGTGCTAGGGTCACCTGGGAAGGGGCCCACTAGTCACATAAGCTAAGGAAACATTGAGTTAAACAGCTCTCCTATTACAGAACTTTCTTCAGAGTCTTATGCTAACATTTATTGCAATAATGTAAGATTTTAAAAAATGTTTTTCAAGCCCTTTTAAAGTACTACCAAAAGAACTGATAAAATATGTACTCTTCTGCCTATTTTTAAAATGATACCTAATGATGAATTTCCTTAAATACATTTGTAAAATCCTTAGAACTACTACTTAACTCATTTAATTTACAGAAATGTTCATTATACAACCTTATACAACCAATAGACTTTAGTATGAAACAACCAGTCAAATCAGACTGTCAGTAAAAGTGAGAATTTAATACAAACTGATTGGTCCCTGTGATAAACTTTTCACCGCTAAGGTGCAAATCTAAAGCAGGAAGATAAGCAAGTGGGCTTCAAAGCTGTCATAAATTTGTTGTCCTGATAAAATAAGGCAAAGTTGGGGTAGCCCAGTGGTTCTGCTGCCTGCCTCACAAGCGCAAGGTCCAGAGTTTGACCTCCAGTACCAAAAAAAAAAAAAAAAAATAAGGCAAAGTCCCCAGCAATATATCTTATAGAAGAGCTCTCTGCTTTTCTCATTTCTGGTATGAGGAGAAAAAAAGATTTTCACCCCCAAAGCATGAGAGATCACCCTTTCTGTAAAACACAAAAAGGTAATTGCTATAAAGGAGGAAAAGAAGCACTGACAGACCCAGACACTTTGTTAGACAGATTGGTTCAGGTATTTAAAAGCTACTTTCAATTGCTTCCACTAAACCTGTCCATGCCTAGTACTTGTTGGCAAATCTTCCTCTACAGCAAGATACTCCTGTTTGATCTAAGTTCTAGACTGTATTATCCTATGCAGCAGCAACTAGAAAGTTGTCACCATTTAAGTAATTTCAATAAAATGAAACTAAAACTACAGTTTCTCAGATAGACTAAGCATTGTTACATGTTCAACAGCCATATGGCCACCACAATGGACTGTACGGATACAGATTTTCATTATCACTTAATTTCATTTGGACAGTACAGGACAAAAGAACTGTTAACTATAATCTGTTTGATGCTTCTTCTTAGATTAAGTATAAGAGGACAAAGATGGATATTAAACAATAAAAGTGCATAAAAATACTTAATTTCTTTATTTTACTTGGCAATGAATACTTTCCCTCCAATTGGTCAATTAAGATACTGTGGTACAGAATACAGTATATGCAACTTACATTGAATACAAAATTTTCTAGCATAGTTTTTTTTTAATTAGTATGTGTCTAATATATGTTAACATTCCTTGTATGGAGTTGGTACACATGTATAACACATCTTAATTCTTTTTTTATCCTATTTCCTTCCCAGCACTCTGTCTTTTAACCCCCTTTCCATTTGAGAAAAATGATTTATCTACTTCCTATTGCCTATCTTTTATTTTTTTCTTCATTTACAATTTGAGCTTCTAAGAGATACTATGTGATATTTAAGTTTGTTTATCTGACTTATTTCACTTAAGTCACATCCCATTTTCCCACAAATGACTCAAGTTTATCTTTCTTTCTGGTGGATTAGTATTTCATGATGTGTAAATACCATGTTATCTTCATCTGTTCATCTGTTGATGGACATATATACTGTTTAGTTTTTTCTGATGCGAACAATTATAATTTGAGATGAATTATGGAAAATTGAGAAAATAACATTACTTAAATTCTGTATTCTAAACAAAAATAAGTTACTTACATGCTGTAATGCCTTCATTGCTTTTAATTGAGGCTCAGCCCAGGAAAAGTATCTCAATAAATCAACCACCTGAAAGAAAAGAATTAGTTTAGCTCTATTGACAGCAGTTCCACTAATTTCTACTCTTTTACTTAAACACCACTCAGACCAGAGATTTCCTGAAAAAACATAAGAATCACTGATTTACTGCAGCAGCTTCTATATGGTGCAACATTTTGAGCCAGTCTCTTGCTGGCTCCCACCACCAACCACTACCACCAGAGTTGAAAGGAGCAGAGGAAACACTGTGAGTCAGCCAGCAGTAAGAGGTGAGCCAGGGATCAAGACACTAACTTGGAAGTTTTGGCAGATCACCACCCCTACATTCAAGGATACTCAAAAGGAAAAAAAAGCAGGAAGAATCATGAAATCTGTGGGTCTATGTTAACTATTTTACTGTAAGTAGCTGAAAATGTGCTAAGGTTTCAATCATTCTACAAAGCTAGGCCAGTGATATAAACTGGAGTGGTATGTGAAGTAAAAATATTTTCAATGCTTATAAAGAAATGCATAAATAGCAAACAAGTAATAGTTTGCTATTACAAATGAGTACTTCAACTTGGAAGGAGTATCTATCCTTACTTTAATGGAAATAATATTTCTACAATATAGACAGACTGTGTTTTACAAACTATAAAAATTAAACTATCAATCTTTAATATAGTAAGTGGACTTAGAATATCTCAATTAGAAAGTGGCTTAGTAAAGTTTGTAATGACTTTAACAAAGTAAATGTACCAACAAGGGAAGATGGTTTCTCCAAAACGTCACATCTATACACAAATGGAGGGGAGGGAAGGCAGGGCTGTTAGCTGTAAGAAATTATAAATTTTTTCAAAACTTAAATTTTAAAAAGAGCAAAGCTACAAATTCCCAACAATGAATATCAGTATATTGTATACCTAAAATACACTAATAAAATTAATGAATTTTAAAAAATCAATGGAAGTGGATAACAAAGTGTAGTTACTTAAAAAAAATGACTGCGTAAAGCGGTGGAAAATCTGAAAAACTATCACTAAAAAGGCAGTAAAAGTACAAATTATAACACAGCTTTTAAGAATTTAAAGGCAGAATTCAAATAGGCTTATTCAAGCTTTTAAGTTTTCAAGCTCTTGAGAAATGAAAATTGGACAATTTACCAACTTGACCTATAGGTGCATCATCCACTATTCACTCTCAGAATTGAGCTCTAGATGTCCATTTCTATTTCTACCCAAGTGTGTGTTTGTGTGTGTGGGCATGCGTATGTGTATGTGTATGTATCTTTCTTCTTAAAACTATGAACCTCTCTAACATGGAATAAAATATTAAACTACCATACTTATACTAGTCATCTTCTGGCATTAACAGAAATTACTTTTTAGACAGTGTGCTGTTATTCAAGTTTTTGTTTAGTAGATTCATATAAGAATATTTCAATCACTTATTCAAGTTTTATTTTACATTATATAGTGAATTTTACAATTATTATGTTATAAATATCATACAAATACAGGTAAGTTTACCATCACTCACACACTTTTTTATATTGTGCCTAGAATAACATTTTGAAATGCTTTTTTTTAGACAGTGTATTTTTAAATCATTCCAGAAAAAAAAAAATCATTCCAGAATAAGAACTGTGGCAAAAGTGGATAGGTTTATAAAATATTCCCAACCTATAAACTCTGTAGTTTTAAGTTCAAACCGAAAATATTTAAAGTTCCTAAATAAATACAACAAAATATAAAAAAAAAATTCTGCATTCATCCAGCAGGGTAAACAGACATTAGCCAAAAGACTTGTGAAAACGGTGTTACTTAAAAACAAATAACAAGGAATACCTGTTCACTAGAGAAGTATCCATGCACATATTCAATTGCTTTTAATTTGTATTCTGTCAAAACAGCCTAAAACATAAAAAAGCAGCATTAATATACATAAGCAGCACAGTAATATGCATCTAGCAAAACTGCCAATTAATTCAACGGTGACAACTCTCTGTTGGCCCTGGAATATAAAAGCAGACGAAGTCACTGTGTTGACAGGACATTCCACCTCTAAAATTCCACACTGCAAAGGATACAGTGAAAGAGCAGGAGTGCCCCCTGGGCCTCTCTACAAAATAGAAAGGAAATAAAATTCTAATAAGTAAGACTCAAAACTGGTACAAATTGCATATAAAGAATAAGAATTTCAAAACATCCCCATTCAACTAAATCGTTATTAAGACTAAATACATCAGATATTACTTACTCATCAATTATTTGAGTACCAATTATGTGCTAAGCGAGAGAGAGGAGTAAGACAAGATCTAGTTGAGGCTCTCAGTATTTCTATGGGGCTGTAAGAACACAAGCAGCCAAAGGGCCTTGAGTTCACTGTCCCTGCTTGCCACTACCTGGCAGTATAGCCTGTGAGAGGCATTTGAATTACTTTGGAAGTGCCTCATTCACAAAGGGAAACACCTTTACCACCAACCTAAAAAAGAAACTGAGAATTACAACAGTCAATATAAGATCTGACACCTAATAGATATTGAGCAAGTCATGTTTCTCTATGGAGCCGACAAGTGAGAGAAGGTGGTGGCCTTAATTCAACATTACCTAGATCCAACTGATATCACATGCTTCCCTTGCAGCTATATGCCAAACTTAGAGATGAAAATACCAGGTTATCATAGTTCAATAGCCATTAAAAAACTAATGCCAAGGCTGGTACATAGCTCAGGGGTAGAGTATCTGGGTTCCATTTTCAGCACTGTCAAAAAACAAAACAAAACAAAACAAAAAACCTAATCCTTTTGTTTTTGCTAAAAAACAGTAGAACTTTTCATATACTTGTGCATCGTTCTGCTAGGAGAAAAATATTAAGACCTGTCAACTAAACATTCAGGTTGTTCAGTAGCTTTTCACTGAAATGGGGAAAAATGGTATTCTGGACAATGTACTATAAAACCCCTGGTTATAATTATTGGACAGTAAAAATTGAGTTTCTGAATTAAATCCTATACACTGTTGATACCCATCATGTCCCAGTTCTTTCATCAACGCCTGAGAGGTACAGCTATACCCCCAAGAAGAGCACCACGCTCTGAACTAAGACTGCCTCAATATGAATACTGCCCCCACCACCTGCTGGGTAACCATGAGCTGCTTACTTAACCTCAAACAGACTAGGTCTACCATCTGTAAAATTACGAGTACCTACCTCCTGGGTTGTTAGCAGGACCAAGTCAAATAGTAAGTGCTCACTAACTGATGACTGTTACCTCCTTTTTGAAAAGCAAATTCAACAGCCTTTTCCCCATTTTTCTTTTTTATTTCTTTTCCTAGTCTTATTACATGCTTTTTTGCTTTAATGACAGAGGTTATCTACAGTGGCATCAGGAAAAAGGATATTTTTAAACTGACATTAATACAGTTTAAGAGTAATTAAGATAAAAAATCAGTTAATAATACCCACTTTACATGTGCTTCTACCTTATTCCATTTTAACAGACTACTACAATGTTGATGTATTTGACAAAGCCTGCAAATACTAATTGCAGACCAGCAATATGGACCTAAATTGCAATCTTATATGAAAATAACTTTCATGTCTGGGAAATCTCTATTCCTCTCACTAGTATTTACCGTAAGACACTTTAACAATATATAAGGAAAGAACTTGTGCATGGACACTGTTTCATCCAAAAGTAGAAATCGGCTTGAGTTCATAAAGTATTTTCTTATAAACAGCATTTTTTTAAAAAAAATCTGTGAACAAACTGTTACAACAAATTCTATCCACCTAATTAGCAAACTGGTATTTGGCTTCAAATCTTAATTGGGCAAACTGCATTTGTGTAAGTAGAAAATTGTTCAAAAAGAAGAAAAAGAGCATTACATAAAGTAAATCAGCAAGTCCAGAATCGATTTCAGTAATAACTTTATAAAGCTGAGACAAGCACCAGAGCACATGGCAGAAATTCCTGTGGTGTCATTCATCAAAAGATGGAAAGGTATGAAATAGTAACTTCCCTGCAGGCCTGAACAAGGCACGTGGGGTGGATGTAACTATGGTGTAACAAGTTCTCTCAGTTCTAAAGAGGTAAGCGCTTTCTTGCTTTTGTTCTAGAGCTACGTTTAGGTTCAAGACTGTGTTCCAAAATTATTGTTGTTTGGTTCATTCCTGGAGGTAGAATACACACAAGAACTTCGAAAAGAAGCAAAAATAGAACGCAGGAGAAAAATTGAAATTCGAGATGTTTAAAATTTAGGATAGCCATAGCCAATCCCTAAGAAAGTGACTTTAAGCAATGTCACGAGTAGTTTAGTTCTGTTCAAGACAACATTTTGCTTATCTTTAAATGTGAAAAATACTTAATAACTAATTACCATTATTAAAAAACTTTCAAAGAGTTCTAGGTTTTGGTCATTCTCCTGTAATGAAAGATGAGGTAACACTCAGAAATATTACATTACTTACCAGAATTATCGAGTTTTAAATTAATACTATAGAGCAGCTTCAGAACCAAGGAGTGAATAAAATTTCCACAACACCGCACTGATTCTCTGGCTGTGTTAACATAACTTCTACGCGTGAAATACCTCAAGATACAAGCTTCTACACTCCTGGTGAAAATTCAAACTCTCAATGACTGGACTTTTAGTCTGTACACTCTACACAATGCACCCCCAAATTAAAACTATGGCAAGTGGTATACATAGAATTTAAAGAAACAAATGTAACTACCTTTCTGATTTCATCCAGCACCGTTTCAAAGGACTTTTTGTCCATCTTGACTACTGTTTCCACGTGTTTAAATTATACTTCCAATTATGAAATGTTCATCCCTGTTCTGCTCCGTTGATAGCAAAAAAAAAAAAAAAAAAAAATGTTTATAGCTGAAGAAGAAAAGCACTCTAGGAGCAGGAAAAAGATGCGAGGAGGTAGAGTATTGCAAACTCTGGAAATTTTTCTAAAATCGGAAACTTAGAAAAACTTTATTAAAAAGAAAAAACCATTCCCGTCAGGCTTCTTCACACAAAGCTTCGGGACACCTCGGGGAAGAGCCGAGTCTTCCGAGTCCCACAGAGCAAGCCAGGGATTTCGGCGTCGTTCCGAGCAGCTGAGAGATAGGAGCCGCCGGGGGCCCGCGAAGCCACTTTCCGGGGTAGAACGTCCAGGGCAGCTGATGCACCTGCGCCCCGAGCCCCGCAGGCGGCGAGGAGGGAGGCACTGGCCCCT